TATATACCGAGTAATTTCTGTAGATTCTGCTTTGCTTCAGCTTTGTAGGCAACTTGTGCTAATGTGTCAAAAGCCAACACTCGTTGCGAAGCGTCCACCAAGTCAAAATGCCTAACCTAAAAAAGTTGATTTAAACGAGAATTTTAAAGCGTCACTTTCATCAAAGGAAGCAATTACGATATGTTCTAGAAGGGTTTACAGGGGTCGTGGGGGTGCTCAATAGTACGGCAGTGGCGAAAACCAAAGAAATCCGTCAAGAAACGTGAAAAAGGACACCCTTGTTTGGCCGTCGGTTTTAGACGATAAGATAAGAACGAAGGTCAAAGAAGGGGAAATTGCATAGTTGGGAGACAGGCGGACCTCCTGAGGGTGCGGACCGACGCGCAATTGGCAGCGAAAGATTTGACCTCGGCGATCTAGCATGGCTCACTCTTGGTGGCGCGGTACGCCCACCGACATAGCAGAGAGAGCGTTAGCGTTGAAGAGGGCACGATGAGAGTCGCATCAATGCGGAAATCAACGGGCAAGGAAGGGGTCCCATTTCTCGGGTTCTGGGCCGTTTCTCATGGTTTTTCCTTCTTTCGTGTATCACTCACCATCATCCCTTAGGTTAATTTGAAATGGGTTGCCTTTTCAGCGTAAATTTCGCCTTTGAAGACGGGCAGCGGCAAGACGGCCGACGCATGGTCAAGTTTACCGCAACGCGTTTGGTACACCATGCCAAATCATGCTCCAGTCGAGTTGCTCCAGTTGTGCCGCTGCTGGCAACACAGCTCGTCCAAATCACCAACTAAACTAGTGGGCGGATCGCTTTTGGGGCGGAGTGCTTTCGAAGTCCTGCTCAGCAACCAGCGCACCTTTCGTCGTGAAAGCGCCACACCTCGCTTCCCTGGCAGCCAAGTAACTGCTTCGTGTGGTGCATATATTCCCCGATTATAAATAATGCTTCACCTTCACCTATCTACAGGGGGGAAGCAAAAAAAGAGTCACTTTCATTCACATTCAAAGCAAAATTAATTACACTTTACCAGAACCAAACTGAATGAGCTTAATTGCGTATTGAAGAGCACATTCTATTCTACCAAAAAAGTTACATTGGGGCTTTCTACACCAACGACATCAGGAGATTTTCCCACGGAAACTTGGTGCACGGTACGAGCTTAACGGGGTCGTCGAGAAACCATAGACGATTACGACGTCTCTGAAACTCTGGTTGAAAGCCATGTTGCAAGTAGTCGCCCCCTAAGACAAGCTAGAAAGCTAGTGTCCCTAACAAGTAAGAAGCCATTCATCAGTTATTCCGTCGATTGAAGAAATGATGTACCGCAGCTTCAACCCAATGTTGTGGGCCGCTACATAATTTTTCTTGAAAATGAAGCGCTATGTAGGCCTCTTTGAGTTGTCCGGCGGATGAAATACGTCCACACAGCATGTCGGAGAAATATCAGGCGCGGGTGGGATGATGGCTACTTACGGGGGGCATAAGGAATTTCGTAATAACTTCGTATAGCACACCTTTATACGACTTTATGGGGGGACATCTAAGGAATATTTCGCCGTATAACTCCCAATAACAGCGGCATCCTTTGCGACGAAAAGTTTGATGATGTGCGCCATGGGCAAAGTGACTTTTTTGCCCCCCCCCCCTGTATATGGCGCGCCATAAAAGATGGTAACAAAAACTCGTGGCCCAAAAACCGTAATTACAATGGAATAAGGTGAAACTCCAGACATGTACATGGCATACCAAAAAAACCATTAGATACGTTACCTCCGGTATAAGTTAGCTCGAAAACTCTTGTGGTACGATTTGACGACGGCACGCAACGTTATACATTTTTCACTGACGTATTGAATATTGTTGGACTTGGAAAGAGAGGGAGTCGAATATTACGAACCCCTTTGTGTTCGTTGCATGGACTCACGAAAAGGATGAGGTGCTAAAGACCTACACTTGTGTGCCTTATTGCATTCTGTGCTGATTTGCGCGGTAATACCTGCCAGCCGACAAACACCGCTCATTTTGACAACACAGTTTCAGAATCAGACAAGAGATGTACGTACATTAGGGATAATTCTAAAACCATACTGCGATGACCAATACCAAGATCATTCTAAGATACTGTCTTAAACTTTCAACATAACTAGCGTGCAGCTCGCAAATGAAAGGGGCTCAATTTTTTGTGCGGCTTAAACAACTCCTAACTTTTCCCTGGACCTTACTGAGGGTCAGATTCGCTGCACGTCAAACCAGTGGACCCATATTGAAGAGTAAAATTGTCAAAAAGCACTACAACTGAATTGCAGGAATCATTCAATGAAGCCTTGGCCGAAATGTCCTAAGAAACCATGCATGCCGCCGTCGAAGTTCACCTAATGCTCAATGAGCTATAAATGATGTGTGTCAACTACATCTGAACACCTTGCAGCTGATTCGTTGAGACGGTGCATTGTGGATATTTCCATGGTTACGTCTCATTCCTATGTGACAATTATTTGCTACCATATTTATAGCGCACACCGTAGATAAGGCCGACTTCAAGGTAAGCATTTCGATGTAGAATGTCTTATCTGTAGGAAGTTAGAAAGTACTGAAATGATCTAGAGCAGGTATAAGCTTTTAGCTCAACAAAGGTGGGAATAGTTTAAAAATTTAGGCTGACATAAGTCTTGATCAAAATATGAAATTTGAAAAGAATAATTACGCACCATGTCCATTACAGCAGGAACAAATGATGGAAAGCTGTTTATGACGTCCGGGTAGACACGACTCAGAGTACCAAAAAACTTCACGCACGCTAAACGAAAATACATTGTATCCTTAGCCAACTACTATTGATTAGTGTATATGACATGTAAAGTTAGTTAGAGAGTTGAGCACTATTAATAGCGTAGATGACAAGCACCGTAGTAAGAGAGTTGGAAGCAAGAGTGGGGATCGGAGTTGTGTGCCATTTTGCTCGAACATTAGAAAGAAAGGGCGATGAGAAACGCTTGTGGGGAGTAAAAGCGAAAGTCCACAGAAAGCATTGAAATTTCCCTTGTGAAGAACGTGGTAAGATAGAGAGACACAGCCTGTGAGAAGAAGAAAATCGCGAGAGAGCACGTCGTGTGCAAGGGCGTACAGACGCCAGGTTCGGTGCGATTGGTAAAAATGACAGCGGTCGCAGCGGTCAACCAAAGGCATTACCTCCTTTGTGACGTACTCCAGATGCGATAGTGCCCCCGCTCCTGTGATTTGGAACCCTATTGTCTGGAGAATTTCTCCGAAATTCAATCGTACCCGATAGCACGTGAGCATTGTATTCAAATAGGCAAAGTACGGCGGAGAAGATAGGGCCTTGCTACGGCGGGGGGGTTTGCTCTAGGTCAGTGGTTTCCCAGCGTTGCGATGGGCGAGCCCTTCGTCCAATACAAGCCTCTTCTCCCTTCCTTGGGGGTTTGGCGTCCCTTCGTGACAAGGTTACCTCCCCTTGCCCCACACCGAATTTATCGTAAGATCGCCTTCGAAGGATCTTACAGCGATATAGAGATCTGCGAGAAGGGAAATATACAAGTCGGAAAGGGCAGTCGCGTTTAGGGTTCGATTTTATATATTTTATAGCAATGTTTTCACCATTTCTCAATTTCAATTGTTTGTTGAGCGTGCGTTCAGATCTCGACGGGGTAAATCAGGTCAGTGAAAAGGGACGGGGGGTCATAAGGCGGGCGATCAAAAAGGTCAATTCAGAGCAGCGGGTAGCCTGTTTGGATGTGTAAAGGGAAGGGTGTTGGTGGTAGAACTTGGTCAGGACCCCCGAGCACTCGACATTCAAATGCGCCGGATGTAGAGTGCACGGTTTGTTCCTGAGGGAGTTCGGACCAAATGCATGCGCTTCAGTTTCCGCACTGTGCGATGGTGATTGATGGAAAATCAGACGAGTGACCAGAAGAGGTACCGTTCAAATGTTTGGAAGGCATTCATGCAACAAGAAGAAACACAAATTTTCAAGCGTACTCATTTGAAACAGAAACATGGCGGAAGTATTAACATACCGCCACTCACTTATGGAAAGGAAAAGCTGATGAGTTCCAAAAGGTCCTAATATTTGCGCAAAATTATCCACAGCACACAAGGAGCTGTGGTCGTTGAAACGTGACTGCGACGAATTAGAACCTCTCGGCGATACACGGAAAAAAAATCTCAAACGAACCTTTACGATTTTGTGAAGTAGCTTTAGTGGCCTTTAGCTATACCAATTTCACTGGGCGTCTCAAGGAAGTTATGGCTTTTGAAAATATGAAAACTCGCGCTTTCGAAAATTTTCCTCGTTATTTTTGCATCTTGTTTGGTTATCCTCGACGAAGCCACTATTTAGATATTGAACAAATGAAGTTCTTTCAATTCAATAATTTTTCGAATAGAAAAATTCTTCTTATTACGAAGCCTATCGAAGAAGAAGATAAGAAGCTTATAGTGGTTCAGAATAGTTGCAGCTGAAGTAAGTTACTCTTCCAGATTGCAAAAACTCGCGCTTCACAAGAATTTGGTTCGCTAATGACCGAAAGCGATACTTTCTCATTGTTTTTATAAAGTTACGGTTAGCGCTATCAGAAAGTACCCGTGTCAACCTTATCGTTAGAACTTTTGACTTGTACTGGATAACTGCTGTTTTAGGCATTACGCGTTACGAAAGTTATCACAAGAATGCTGAGTTGTAGGCAAAACTTTCGCCCCAGCCGGGATTCGTACCCGGATCTCTTGCTTTCCGGGCAATTGTGCTACCAGTTACACCACCGGGCACCATTTCACCCCAACTCAGCTTCGATGGCAAAGTTACCATAGCCTATCAGCATTCACACGTACAACGTGATGAACGTCAGAATAACCTCAGAATTTCCCTCGACGCCCCGTAGGCTGAGATGATGCGCGTTTCGCGCGAAGGGTAAGCCCCAGCGGCCCAGCAGAGCCATACTCGCGTCGCTCGCGCCGCTGCCCGCCTAGCCCCTTCTGACTTTAGCCGGCTGGCAAAGGGAGAGCGTTGGCGCTGAAAGGGCAGCGCCGATGAAAGCTGCACCAATGGTAAAGTCAACAGGGGAAAAGGGGTCCCATTTCCCAAATTCGGTGCCCTCTCATGATTTTTATCCCTGCACCACTGGCCACCTACTTTATTTTTTAATGGACTGCTTTTCATCGTGAGTTCCGCCCTTGATAGCGCACTATGGCACAATGGTAGAGCGGTAGAGAGAGGGTCTAAAGCCAAAGATCAAACGATTTCGAAATAAGGAGAATGAATGAGGCAGAAGTAAAAAACGAGATATTCATGAAACGCTGGCGTTTTATACGATTGTCGACCTGTTACCACTTTCTATAACTGAACCTATTCAAGCATTTGAAAAGAATGGAAATACACCTACATGGGTAAATGAAGCCTCCATCTGGCGCGTCCTTGCTACTTTGCAATAGCTCGTAAATCTGGAAATACAAAACCATCTCTATAATGGGAACAAATTGAAAAGATAGGCACAAATTAGGGAACTCGTTCTACGGCGCTAACAAAAGATGTATTAAGAATGGATATGGCCTGTCAGGAGCAAGAAATAGAGGACGAAGCGATACCTTCTGTGGAGCTCCCGACTCGTTAACGACAGCGGCTCCGACGTTGGACGCGATTGCTACATCCGACAAGGCATCCATAGCGGCCAATGCAACAAGGATATCATTACTGGAGAGCTCCCCTACCAAACTTTGTAGCATTGGTGCCAGCGCAGGTGTGTAGTAGCCACGTTGCATGGCACAAAGTAGCACCTGAAAATACCCCAATCAAGCCGAGGACCACCTGACAGCACTGAACTGATAGTAGGCTGAGCCAGAAAGGAACCAAATTCAAGTTTTAGTGCGACTAAAGCTCGGCTTTCTCAGTCAAGCTAATAGCAAGTTTAAGATTATTTTTGTTCAAGTTCGAAGCTTCAATTCACAAACATATCCAGACAGGAGCAGAAAAAAGGTTCTTTACCTTTTCAACTGCCGGCCACCCATAGAACGTTCTACTGTAACTTTTCAACTGCTACCCACCCTTAGAAAGCTCGCAAATTGACAAAATTTGCCTTTGCCTGAACAGTCAAAACTCCAGTGAGTAGATATGGGGTGTTTAGTGATAACGGGTGATAAAAGCTACGACATCATTACCTGATAGACTTTAAACCGATGCTCCGAACTCTTCGTCGTTGTTAACTGATGCTGGAGTTCTTGTAACAGTTGTGGATTACTTGATACTGGAGCAAGTAATGAAGCCAGCTAAAATGTAACTTGAACGGATAGTAAATTGATGGTGAAAAAACTTGATCGAAAGCAAAACAGTAAATCGAGAAAAAAAAACCTGAACGAAACCATTCGCTAACTTTCTCCCACATTCTACACTTATCTACATCACCTTACTTTTTGCTGATATTCTTCTCATCATTTTCATCGATGTTCTGTAATTAAATCTCAATTAACTTTTCCACATTATACCATCCTGCATTTTCCTTAACGTTTATTTCTTCACTTGATGACACTGCTCAAGCCGAAATGCGTCGCTAGTTGGAACTTAAAATAGATGTACGAAAGTTTTGAGTGTCATTCTCATTTTTTGAATCCGTTCAGCATTGGGTCCGTTTCTCAATTTCATCAAATTAAGTGAGAAAATTACATTGTTAAGGGGGCAAAGACGGGGAACGCTGTCCCTGAAAGACATTGACGCTATTTTCATAATGAGTTTATTCACAAAGAATGTTCAGAACTCGACGGTGAAGGCTCGTGGTCAGTACGACACTCATTGTTTTGATATTTGCTAGAATTCTGTAAGAAACCATGGCAAAGATCACCATTGTGATGATGACCATGGGAAAAGATTATCCAACAAATCTATTCAAAATTCTGTTGTTGGGTGATCTGTAGGAGTCACCCCAATGGAATAAAAAGCGACTTGCATTTCGAATAGCAATTCCTTTTTCTTTATTACTGTTAAAAATGTTGTTGGAATGTTCCGATTTTCAAATACTCCGACAGGAATAGGCGTCCGGGAAGCCAGACTTGCGCAGCAGCCCAGACAAAAACTTAGCCCTAACCATGGGCTTACAGAGAGCCAGTCAGTACATGCAACCTAACCAGAACATACCTGATCTGATCGTATGATGTAATAACATCAAAGTGATCGAAGTATTGGTCCAAACTTTTGTGTTTTTTCTTACTTCCAACTTATGCAGCATTTCCCGTGATTTATCGTTCCTTCGTTTTGATTCCTCTCATGTTGTTTACTAGCGCTACGTTTGCCTGGCTAGGCTCACCCATGACAGGTGCCACATAGAAATGAGCTGTGTCAGAGACAAAACTTTTTATTTCGATTCCAGAACAGCCTAGGTAGCGGCGAAATTGGTTATGGTAGGAAGCTGGTTGGTGGTTGAGAAGAAGACTCACCCAAAGTTGGCCTGACGTTTTATTACAAAAAAATGCACACGACCCCCCGGGCTTCGTAGAAGTCAAAACTTTCAACATAAAAGAGTGGAGTATGACGACAAACCGGGCCAGTAGTCAAGCCCTTCTTCGTAAAATGGCGGATTTGCCGTAGGGCTCTCGGTAGTTCTCCAATCACTACAACGCGCAAAGAGCTAGCTATATCTCGGTGCTTTTAGCCCACAGTTTGGACGGTCATTTACGTTAAACTATTTTTGAATTCCCATTTCCACAAGTTTAAAAGATGGCGGCACGAGGAGCGGTGCAAAAGTTGGGTCATAGATTTTGATTTTTTCCTAACACCGAACGTTACAGAAGGGGCATTTCGTACCTACTATGTGGTCAAACACTGAGGCATCTTTTTAAATAAAAGCAGAAGTCAGGCTCGTGTTTCGG